ATTAATTAATTGATATTTTCAGATTTATAAGGTATTGAACAATAAGATATTTCTAATATTATAACAGCCAATGTTACTATCCTTAATCATTACCAGGTAAAACAGATGTTTTGATATTGATCTCAGTTGATGCTCTGAATAAAGAACAGATGTTTTGATATTGATTACAGTTGATGCTCTGAATAAAGAACAGATGTTTTGATTTTTTCCTTTTCAGGTCGTTATACAATAAAATGTTTGATTCTTCAGATTGTTAAACATTTTGAGAATTGTTTAGTTTTCCCTTCAGATTTTGAAATGACATAATGATTGATAGTTGAAGTAATGTAATTAATTAAATATCATGCCTTACTCTTGAATAAAGCGTAATTAAATAAACGTAAAGTAATGTTAAAGATTGAGGACACTGTAACTTTACAGATTACAGATTGATCGATTCATCACTGTGAATGTATACCTTAACTAGGAACCTTAGCTGGATCTCTCATGATTCTGATTTATACCTCAATTGGATTTATTATAATCCTAAATTCTAATTGTGTTTTAATAAGTAATTGCCTTGAAGTAAATCTTTGAGATGTAAGCTGATTTAGAATTTGTGTTTGATGAAGGAGATTAACTGAGTGATAAATTATAAAAGATCTTATTTTTGAAACATATATTTTGCTATAATATTGTTGTATTTCACGTGTTTACTATTGTGCTTTTTGACAAATGATGCCAAACACTGAAGAGAGATGATTTTTATTATGATTGACTGTATTCAATCATGGTGATTGAAGTGTTTTCAATCTTGTTCTACTTTTGATGTAATTAATGTGAGTGAGCCCACACAACTCTGAAGACGCTTATTGACTTAAGTATTGACTGAAATATTCTTTAGACTAATATTAATTGATTATCATAAATTGATAAAAGGGTGGATCTGTAAAGGAATATTTTAGTCTTGTTAAAGTATATAGAGTTTAGTGACTTGTCCTCTGGAATCTGTTTAATGGTTAAAGTGTATTCCTGCCTGTAATGTGATCCATAGCTTCTCAGGAAGACACAGGTCAAGAGGTCATCTGATGTCTTGTGGGGGGAGAAGCTTGGCTCATGTGGGTTTGCAATACAACGAGTCTTTGTCTCGACATCTGGCATGCATTAAAGGAAAACCCGCGTGTTTTAGGGCCCTCCTCTTCTTCATGTATAGATGTGTTCTTGGCGCTTTTGTCTTCAGAGTTGGCTGGTATCTTACAGGAGAACTGTATTATACTGTGATTCTCTCCGGCCGTCTGTCTCTCAATAAATATCAGTGTATTGACAGGCGAATCCAGTTTCCCTCATTTGATGATTGGCTCAACATTGCTGCAAAGAAGTTTTTACTTCACATGCAGCCTCGTAGTTGTTGGATGAACGTTCCACTTCCTGCCTGCGCCGCGTCAAAAATAGGATTCATCCTATATTTTAGAAATTCCTTGCGGCGAGGAGCTTCTGGGACGCTTCGAGCCGCGGCGCAGCGGGTCTGGTGGAATAGCACCCATTGACTAGAGTGGCCGCGATCGCTAAAAACGCCGCAGCGCAACGCAGACGCTCCTGGTGGGATTAGGGGGTTACTGATGTCAGTCCTCTCTGGTGTTTGGAGTTATGTCTACACCTGTCTGCAAATTAAATGTATTTACAAATATTAAGTATTCGGAGGCCCAAGTGAAGGTTACAAATAATGGGGGATTCGGCACCTTCAGATCTACAGGTTTAATGACAACTGCAGAGTCATCCATAGAGAGGTAAGAAAGCTAATGCTATGCTAACTGAGTGCTAACAAAACCTTGGCCTATCATGCACAAGTCATCTCCCAGTAGCCTATATGTAAATATACTGCAATATTTCCTGATTTAAATTATATTCTCAGACTCAGTGTAGTGGTTTGTGTTACTGTAGTTCCGCAGTAAACAGTCAGACGGCTGACATCCAACACATTCAGCATCTATTGGTAATGTTTGCTATGTCTCCCTCGTTTCCCTGTTAGTTTAAAATAATTAGATGTAATCCTGGTCCTTTTTTTGTTTTGTTTGTTTGTCATTGGAGTGGCTGTTAAAGCCAGCGTCATAGCAGTGCCTTCTGGCCATGATTAAAATGTTTAAAGTGAAAAAGTTGCAGCTACTCCGCTAACTGTACAGGTTAAGTTAATAGGCTTGTTTGAGACAAGCGAGACCTGCGCAGTTGCGATCAACGTCTTGCTAGTGCGTTGCATGATGGTTAGTCATTTTTGTCCGACTTGCTCTGGAGGCTCGCCTACATGAGACATTGAAATCTCGCGGGACAAAGACGCCCGCAGCCTTGACGGAGCCTACACACGGCGGCGTGCGTTGCCGCTTCAACGCTTCTGCCCATTCACTTTGAATGGGGTGACGTCACGATTCGCCGAACTGCATTGTGGGAGCAAAGCGTAGCTTCTCTCGCGGTGCTCGCTGCAAAAGTAGAGCAATGTTCTACTTTTGCCGCCTCGACGGAGGCGTCAGCCAATCAAATCCCGCGTATGCAAATCTGACATTACAAGCGCTAGCCAATCAAACCGCGTGTATGTTGGGAGAGCCAGACCGCAGTTATTTCCCATATGTAAAAAAATGGAGGAGAAAAAGATCGTGGCGGTACTATATGACCAGTCCCTCTTTACATACAGGGATACAAACCGGAGGAGCCAGGCATGGGGGGAGGTGGCAGAGACAGTGGGTGACACTGGTAGGTTTTCGCCTTTTTGGGGAGTTTATATCCAGTGTACTTCGTTTGAATGGACAGCTAGCAAGCATAGACAGTATATTTAGCCAGCATGGATGTAGCATGAAAGCTTTGCTTTGTATGTCCGGGGCGGGACATTCATGTGATTGGTTGTTGGTCGCGTTGTTCGTAAAAAATCCCCAAGCTTCAGACACGCCCACCGCCAAGCGGTAACGCACGCCGCCGTGTGTAGGGGCCGTGAAAGCGAGGCGCGGCGAGGCGCGACGCGGCGCAGTTCCTCTCCACGGGCTGCGGAAGCGAAATGCTTGATGGGAAACGACTCGCTGGTATCTCGAGCTGAGCGCTCATTGGTGGTTTTTACCACGTGCTGGTGATGAAACTCTCCAATTGGCTCGGCAAAAGTTTGTTGTTGTTTTGTGTCCGTTTTACGTCGCCACATCCATTCCCATTTTTCATCATTGTTCCACAATGTTTATCATAATGAAATTAATATCCATATATTTTATACTTGCACTGCTTACCGTTTTCATACTTTATATATCTTAGCATATTCATACACACTGTTCATACTGCTCACAGGCTGATATCTAGTGTATTCATACCCCTCACTGTTTGTTCATCATTCAATTCATTCTATGTTATTCTGTCTATTGTGTACATTACTTTTCACTTCACTGCTTGTTGCACCTGGTTAGAAGCTAAACTGCATTTCGTTGTCTCAGTACCTGTAATATGTGCAATAACAATAAAGTTGAATCTAATCTTGAGCAGGAACAAATGTATTTACTTAGTAGCCTACATATCTGACATTAACGATTAAACACGTGTGCATTCTTTATAAATACAAACCGAGTCAAGCCGACTCCGGAGGTGGCGGTATGCACCTTAAAGTTGTTGCCAAAAAACGGAGAGAAGAAGAAGAAGAAGACGAAGCCGTGTCCGAGCTGTCCGACTTCAGGCGAGCTTTTTGAGACCTCCCCCGGCTGCGATCGGCTATTCTCGTCTACTTTCGAGGCGAGCCGCAACGCGTCTCAAACAAGCCTAATATGTGGTCTTTATCCTCCAAAGATGGTCGACTTGACGTTTATGACGTCACATTCCCGTCTACATTGCTTACTGTATTTCCTGTGTTTTGTCCTCACAGAATAAGTAGAGGATACTTTTATTTTGTTACATTTTTTTCATAATAAGTATTACACTTTATAAATATGAACAACTATGCTATCATAGTGGTTAATACCATCTCTTTATATATTTTCTCTTCTCCACCTTTCTTCACTCCAGGTAATCAACAGCTAGTCAGTACCTGGTGGTGCACCTCACACTGATGGATCCCCTCACCCTCAGTAGCCTATCAGCAGCCAGATCCACTCATACAGGAAGCAAGGAAGTCTTCTCTTTCTCAGACCTGGGCCTGCTGCTGACTCCAGAGCCGCTCTTAACTTTCTTATATTTGTTGATTCTTCAGTGAATCTTGGTTGGTTTGGTGATTCCTTAGTGAATCTTATTACAGTTTGTGATTATTGTTAAATGTGTGTGTGATAGGAGGTTGAAGATTTAGGTAATCTTTGGGTACCTGCTACATTTTACCACATCAATTACATTTAGACAGACTAGGTCATTAGATTGTTGCCACCCTTATTGGTTTTGTTAACATAGTAGATCAGATAGTGAGAGCTTTTTATTTGTTTCGTTTCAAAGGAAACATTCAGATAGGCCTTGTTTTGTTGTATTTATGTCTTTAATTTGGCATAATCTTCTTTTGTCTCCTCTTCCCCCTCACTTAAAGAAACTTTGTTGGCATTTGTTATTAATAAAGAATAAAAACACTAGTTTACTTTTATTCAGTCTCTCATTGTATGGGTTGTTGTGTTAGTGTCTTCATTTCCCCCTAGAGCTTTTTTGAGACGTAATACACTGTTTAATACAGGCAGACAAACGCCAATCTAAGCAGCCCCAGTGATTTTTGAAGGTGAAGACCTTACACAGAGGTCACAAATGTTTAGTAAATACGTCAACTAGTCTAACAAAAAGGGGTGCTCTTGTTGTGTACAATTTGCACATAAAAAAGAAAGTATTCTACGCAAACTAATGCAGTGTTTTCCCCACTCAACTGTCCTGAGTTTCTGCGTTAGGAAACCAAAGCCTGACAGCCTATAGTGCTGGTCAGTGGTCTATTTCTGTCCATATATGCACTGAGCCCGGAGCTAATAAAACCTCCGTGCCCTGCCCCGACAGACAGCTGCACAGCCCAATCGGTGTGTGCTGCTGCGCCCCTAGGGGCCAACCCGCCAATCCCGCACTAATGGAGCCTGCAGACCAAAATAGCCCCCCAGCAGTGTATGTGTTTGCGTGGTGTGTGTGTCTTAGTACTGTGTCCTGGGTGAGCTCTAATAATAGAGGCCCGCCTGCTCCTTTAAGAGCCTACTTGTTGCATATAGTCCGACTCCACAAACTACATTTGAACAAAAATGGTTATCAAAGTTTTCCTCGCCTCTTCGTCGGGATCCACTGCGGTGAGTACTCCTTCAACACGACACATTTCTCATTTAAATTAACTTTCCTGTGTGTAAACCGATCAGGACTTTACTTTTTAAATGCGCGAAATATTGCAATGAATGTCACTTGGCTTTGATTTTGCATGCGTAATTTGGATGTTTACGATGGTGAGTTTTCCCCTGGCAGTGTTTTAATTGTGGATTTTAATTAGCGAGTCGATGTGATTCACATGTGGAGCTTTCGAGAACTCCCTTCACGTCCCCCGATATAGAAACGATTCACGCCACCACCCGGTGTTGCGTGGGAATTTACCCAGTTCAGAAAGAACCTTTTCACACTATTTGGCAACTCATTTACCTTGGAGAAAGTGTTTTAAAAGAGGTATGTGTGATAAACACAGCATGCAGGGAGGGGGTGATTTTACATACATTCTTGATTTACTTTTGGCAAAGCTAAATAAGCAGTTTGAAGCAGGGGTGCCATGGTGGCCCAGATTTGCTCGCAGTGTTGTTTTACTGCTGATTGAGCTGGGTGTTATCCTCTGAGTCGATTTTGTTTAGCATGTCCTAATTTTGGCTGTCTTCCATGCAGAGTATCCTGGCACAGATGCAAGGTCCTCATTTGATTAGATTATAAACGTTATTGTCATTGCACATCAGAATCAGGTTTATTGCCAAGTAGGTTCACACATAAGAGGAATTCCTTTGTGTATATGGTGCATACATGAACACAGTTAAAGAAGATACATTGAAATAAAAACAAACTATTGTAAAATTAAAATATAGATAAATATTTACATAAAATATAGATATATAGAGAAGTATAGTATAATATAATAAAACACTCAGAGAAATCAAATAAAATGTGCATTATTGTTACGAGAAAGTGGAAAGCTGTGCAGATACAAATGTGCAAAATATTCGGAGGGTTGTGCAGGACTGACAGTATTTATGTGAAATAAATAAAAACAAGTTGCATGAGGTTGCAGTATATTCACATTGATAACAGTTGTTGCAAGTGTGAGGCAAAGAACAGATATTTCTTTTTCAAATATGACATTAATATATTTACTGTTAAGGTGCAGGGTTTAGCCTTGTAAACGTTACATAAAGTTGTTATCAGAGGTGGAAGAAGTTCTTAGATTTCTTACTTAAGTAAAAGTAGCAATTCGTAAAAGTACTTTGTTACAACTAAACGTTTAATTTAAAATGTCACTTAAGTGAATGTACACAAGTATCAGAAATCATTCAGCATTTTTCAAAGTGTATCAAGTGAGTTTTAATGCAACATCTGGAAAGTCGCTAACGCTTTTCAATACATTTAGTGGAGTAAAAGTAAAAAGTAGCATTAAATACTTAAGAAAGTACAGGTACCTGCGTAAATGTTTCCTGCTACCCTCCACCACTAGTTGTATTTAATATTAAAACAGATGTAATAAATATGTCCAAAAGCAGTGGGAGGTCCCTGAGTGTGAGGCGCTGTGAGGACATGTTTTCATCAGCAGCATGTAAACAAGAAGTTGCACAAGAAATAAGCTGTTATTATTGAGGAATCTGATCGTTTTCGCATTTTAAATTTAAGACTAATATGTCAAAAAATAGAGAAACAGACAATCATTATTTATATATAAGAGTCCAAATTGACGTCTTTATTTTTATTTCCTACAAAATGTCCAATCCGCAGTGATGTACTTGGCAGATATGCTTGATAAACTACTTTCACGACTTATCAATCATATAAGTAATTCCTTTTTGGTTAATACACTAATTGTTTGAGGCCTTGTTTATGTTTATTTGGTGGGACAGGGGACCATGGGAAGCGTCATATGTTAACGATGCTCACAAGAAACACAAGAAAATCCCAATTTTCACATTTTAAAAAGATAACTACTTCAGTCTTTTTCTTTCTGTGCAATCTTTACATTTTCTTGAAGCTTAGTTGTGTATTTGTTTGCCTCCCAGATCAAGAAGAAGCAGCAGGATGTGGTGGGATTCCTGGAGGCTCTTAAAGTGGAGTACGCTCAGCTGGACATCGCCTGCAGTGAGGAGAACCGCATGTGGATGAGGCAGAACGTCCCGCAGGAGAAGAAGCCCTCCAATGGCATCCCCCTGCCCCCCCAGATCTTCAATGAGGAGGGATACTGCGGGGTGAGTACACACCCTCACTGCCAACACTCACCTTTATTAACCAGTGTTTGACCCCTGAGAATAGTAAAGCGCCATTATCGAAATACTCTTTTCTAGTTAAAATACCGAATTTACATTATATGCCACCATTCCACTGTACAGACCTGCAAGTGCACATGATTAGTTAGTAAGAGAAGATCAAATTAAATAGGCCCTATTATGCTCTTTTTTTTTTAGGTCCATGTTTGTTGTGTGTCTCTACTGTGACATGTTCCCATGCTTTAATGTTCAAAACGCTCTTTATTTTTTTCATTTTCACCCTCTGTCTGAAACCAGAGCCTGATTGGTTAGCCGGTCAGCTCTGTTGTGATTGGTCGACAGCTTAGAGATGTCTCGCCCCTGTCATGTACAATGTGTTGTAGCACTAGCCAATAGAAGCGTGAGCGTTACATAATGATGTCACTTTTCTTCTTGTAGGACTATGAGACGTTCTTCGATGCCAAGGAGGACAACGCTGTGTTTGCCTTCCTGGGGCTGCCCCCTCCCCCCGGCTCAAAGGTTGGAAATGTTTTCTGTTTTCTACTGTGTACAAAACGAAACTGACTTGTAACCAAAATAATTGTATTTCCTTCCCCTTCAAGCCAAGCTGTGAATCTACGATATTGGGACAGCATCAACTGTATATTATGTCGTTAATCAAAGAGCTAATATATTGACATTTTGCCGGTTAATCTCGATTCTGGAATAGCTTCCTGCAAAACGTTTGTGCATGCGAGTCAGTTTGTAAAGATACGTCTTTAGGAGTTTAAATACTTTGGCCAAAATTCAATAAAATCAATAAAACTGTGCCATCAAAAATAATTAATTGTTCAAGCAATCATCAGAATATTAAGCAACTTTAACTCCTTGCAATGGGCTTAAAATATATATAAAAAGATAACAGACGTGCCCATAGACTTCTGAAATGGTACAATGAATGGGCTCTCCCCAAATCCGCTTTACTCATATCATCATGCTCTCTTTTGTAACCTTTAAGATGTTGAAATCGATACTAGACGGAGCCTTTTAGTTCAAATAAACCATTTAAATGTGACAATATGCAGTGATGACACATTTCTGAAGTCCGACCCGACACTTAGCATCTCCCTGGTTCCCTCAATAGAAAGCCATTGGGATTTTTCCATTGGATTTTGGATCATTCCGGCAATAATCTCTGTGACAAACAATCGTTTATGATACTTATACGTTTTGTTCAGCGGGGTAATCTCCACAAATTAACACCACTTTATGATTTTGTTTAAAGTAAAAGCTAACGTTAGAGTATAAAGGAACTACAGCACGGTCACATGACTTCACTTCACCACCGCTAAGCTAAAGGCGGCTAATGGTGGATGTGATGAGGTTTAGTCGTCTCATTTAGTCACTTGTTAGCAACCTGTGTTTTTAAAAACCACCAGTGGGGTATTTACTGACATATTTCATGTTGTAGGACAAACTATTAAAATCTCTTCTGGTTGTGTTACCCAAATACCTTATTTTAAGCTAACAACCACACACATTTAGAAAACCATTTGCTTCCAGACGAGGGAACCAAAAGTGGGAAAATGCCAAGTCATCTCCGGGTATTAGGACTCATTCCTGCACCACTCTAATGGGAGTTGAACAGATATTGGCTCGGGATCTAAACTGTAATTTCAAGCCCTCCTTCTGTATGACGCACACATGTTAAACTTGACTGTTTTATTAACACAGGAAGCAGATCAGGGTGGCATTGTGCAGAACGGGACCCACGCTGAGGAGACTAAAGCAGAGAACGTTCCCGTTGATGACTCAATAGTAATGCCGTCGTTTCTTTATTCCCCCAGCATTCTGTGTTTCTACTCCCTGTATTATCTTTCCTCTTCATTCAGAGTAACTCGACTTGAACATTGACTCCTCATTCCTCCACTCTGTCGTCACTCTGACTAACCCTTTTGTGTTTTGCACGAGTGACACTTTTCCCGATAACACAACATACAGAGTTGTCATTATAACACTGTTGTTCATTATTTTGGTTTTATTCGATGCATACATTTGTTGTGTGTTTTTATACTTCTTGATTCCAGTTCCTAACAATTTCCCTCCAAAAAAAATCCCTGCTGGTTTACCTCACTACAGATGACACGCACTTTAGCCCAACTTTGAAAATATACTTCATTCCCTTTCTGCATGTCCAGGATTCCTCATAAGCATGATTTTCTTTTCTCCTTTGTCATTTAAAGTAACTGGTGTTTTTGCACGTGAATAGCATAAAACACAACTGAATATTTCTGCTTAGTTGAGCCTGTGATCTGCCTTTTTTGATATCCTACAGGGTCTAACGCAGTGCTGCATGAACAAGCTGAGTTCATTTAAGTTGTCTTTCCTTTCCAGAAAGAGTAAATACTATAGCTAGCATACTAGTCAGTTAGCTTAGCACAAAGACTGGTAACAAAAACCATCCAAAGATAACAAAATATGCCCTTCAGCCCCATTATCTCTTTGACAGAATGAAGGGATGATATTGTTAAGCATGCCTGATTCTCACCTGTCATAAAAGTGTGTCTTTCATTCACAATGCATCATTCCAAACTTTGATTTTCCTAAAGAAAGTATTCACTCATCTCCACCTTTTTAACTGCTGCTACTTCTTCCCCTCCTTCATTTCCCCCCAGGATTGCCTAACACCCACCGTTGATGTTTTTAAACCTTTCCTCTTTGTGCTGTAAAAGCAGTACCTGAACAACCATGCCAATAATATTTCTTTAATTATTACATTATATGTTTTACCTCACAATAAGGAGGTTCCAGTTGAGGAGCGAAATGGGAATTCACACTCAGATGAGGAGCAGGCAGCTGATGAGGAGGAGCTAGCAGAAGAGGATGAAGCCATGGAGGAAGACGAGGACATGGCTGAGGTAGAGGAGGCGGAGCAGCAGGAGGAGGAGGCGGTGGAAGAAACAGACGAGGTCACGGAAGAAACAGTAATTGCATCTCAACTACAATCCAACCCTCCGTTTCCCCTTGAATGTTTTTTGAGTTGAATGTCTTCTCCTTCACCTTCCCATCATTCCTGAATGCTCTTTTTCCTTCCTTAAGCACCTTCAATCTCCCTTTTTAATGTTTCCTCCTCTTCCATTTAAGGGTTTGTCTGCTGTTTTGAGTGTCTGTCATCTTCATACTGCATTTTCCCGTCAAGTCATCCCTCTGGATTCAGTTGTTTCCTAAATACAAATGTCCTGTTCCCTGTGTATTCAGCACCATTGGACATGTAACCTCTTCATTGCATTTTTTTCATTTCCCTCCACGTGTGATTTTATTTAGCTGATGTTACCTCTTGTCTTCCATCCCGCATATCCAATTAATTCTAAATGTCCTGTTTAAATGGTGTCCCACTCTGTTTGGTTCAATAAGCCTGATCTGTGGATGCTGTCGTGTTTCCGTATGAATATACAGATTGTGTAATGTATTAACGATTCACAGTCTCTAATACCATTTTCTCTTCTGTTAGCAGGCCCCCGTAGAGGAGGAAGAAGAAGAAGAAGAACAGGTATGTTTATCAAACACTTATATCTGCTTGCCAGTGATTTGAACATATGGAATATTGCTAACCAACATAAACTTGTGTCTCTATTAACTGTCAAATGATTCTTTTAAAATGCTTGCATGAAAGCTGTGTGGTATTGCAAAGTAGAATTTGTGGTTTTAACTCACAGTACCTTTTTCCTAATACTGTTGTGAGTTAGCCACAATGCTAACCCCTAAAATCTAGTGTGTTGGACAGAAGATGATCAGCCATTTTCAGAAGTGACTCGAATAACTGTGCTCTGTACTTGCAATGCATAACTTCTAATGTTATCAGTTCAATGTCAGTGGGGTATTTTTCTTATATCTGCATCCCTTCAAGTACTTGAATGTTTGAAAAAACTATTTTGTAGCTCCTAAAAATGAATATTTTCCTCTTCAGCCACCCTTGAGGTGGGAATGCATTTCATTTCATTTTTCATTTCAAACCTTTATTTATACAGATAAATCCCATTGAGATCATTGATCTCTTTTCCAAGGGAGACCTGCTCAAGTAGTTCCACATGAAACATAACAACACAAATAGAACAACAAAAGGACATCATACAGCATCATTTACATAATTATCCACATGAACAGGTACCAATAGCTTCCGATTGACTAGCATCCAACCGAGCTTTAAAAACATTTAGTGGCACCAGATTGTTCAGTTTCCGAGCATGTCATGATCGTCAAACAAATTCAGCAGCCTTACACCACTGAGAGTAACGATATATAAACATTGAACAAGGAGACATTTTGGAAGTGACATTATTCACTCGCAAGATGTAGGGACAAGGGGATGAAGGAAGAGGGTTGAGGGGATGTATGGAGGTTGGGAGGGAAAGTTTAAGGGAGTGAGGGATGTTCCAGACACAGTCTCCACCTTCCACTTCCTGTTGATGCATGTCATTAATGGCACGTTTCTTCAGTCCATTGAAACCACCTGACTCACTTCACATCGGTTTCAGACGTCCTTCTGCTGGTCTTCACAGCAGTCTTGTTCCTCATGCACGCACCGTACAGCATTTTTTAACCCTATTCTTTGCCCTTTTTTTGTTCCATCTCTCGGTTTGCTCCCTCCAGGAGGAAGAGGATTTGCAATCAGAGGTAACATTGTGTGTGGGTTTGATGGAGATCAGGGAAGGCTGCTCTGCTTGGAGTGGTCTGCTGTTCTCATTCATCTTTAAACTCACTTCATCTGTATCTCTTCATCCCTCTACTCCATGTGTTTCCCTAACATCCTCTTCCTCATTTCTTCCCAGTTTCTGTAGCTGCTTCCTGACAACTATCCCCATATAGTTTCCATTTCCATTTTTAATCAGAAGACCTTTTATTTTGCATGCCAGTGGTGCTCTTTTGCTCCCAATACTAGCTGACCTGCTATCTGTTATTCATTTCTAGGAGGAAGAAGAGCTACTACAGCTTGAGGTAGATTTATGCGTTGTTTTCTTTACCTACCCCTCTCTGTTTCCTTTTCTTGCTTTCTTTGCCATCCCCCTCAAACATTCCTTCACATTTGTATTTCACACTAGTACACAGTAGACCTAACAAAGAGTCAAATAAAGTGCAAAGACGAAGACAACACTGTTGGCCATACTGAGAGGATTTGCTTGCTGCCTCAAGTGTGTATTGTCTTTATCCACTCACATATGCAGTGATGATTAAATTATGACCACCAGTGCTTGTCAAGAAGCTTTTTTAAAGACTTAATTATGTAATATACTGAATAATGTCAAAGTCACATTCTAGTATGTGTGCAATTTAAATTACAGTATGTTCCCAAGGGTGGACGCTCTTCTGCATCCCTGTTTGCATTCACACAAGCACATCACACACGAATGTAATTTCCACTTCCCTTTCTTTAAACAATCTTTTTGACCCACGCAGTCACTGAAATCTCGCTAAACAGCATCCTGATGAGAGAATATTGATATACAATTCTTTAGTTATCACATTTTCCTCACTGAAATACATTTTATAAGAAGCAGTGTGTGCTTAGTGGACAATATAACAGTGTACAGGCTACTTCTGAAGCCAACCAATGCAGTTGCCTGCAAACCGGGTTGGGAGGGTTACTTTAAAGATATAAGTGTTACAATTATTAGTTACCTGTACAAAAATGTAGTTTAAGTATCAAAATATAAAAGTTAATTAACCTGATTACTTTTGGATTGTATCAAATGCAAAGTGAATAAATTGAGAGAAAATAAATATTAAAAATATATTTTGATTCTATTGGCTAGCGCTTCAGCACATTGTACCTGATAGGCTAAGGGGCGGGACATCGCTAAGCGGTTGACCAATCACAAGAGAGCCAGGCAGTATGAGAAATATAATAAACATGTCACGGTAGAGGAACAAAATACTAATATGTAGGGCCCCTTAAACTCTGGGTTATCTCCCTCAGTTCAGACTTCACTAGATCCTAGGATTTACAAAAAAGACATCTGCTTTTCTGAGACATTCCAGCCGCTGCCTGATCTTCTGAATGCTTCCCTGCTGTGCTTTGCTTTGTCTTCTTTCCTCTCTATCTTTCCCATCTATTTTGTCCAACCTCTTTTTCAGGAGCAAGACGAACAAGCCACTGAGGTAGTTTGTGGTGTCTTACCCACTCTCCTTCTTTTGTCTTCCTCTGTGTGCTGCATGGACCATTATGTATCCATGTGTAGATGCCTGATGATGTGCAGCATGATACATACGACAATACTTGGTGGATTTAGTGTAGAATCCAAAAAATGTGGGTCGATATACAGACCATTATTGCGTTTATCTTCTCTCATTATTTGTTAAACTCACTAAGTCTCACGTGCTTTGATCCTCTATAGGAAGAAGAAGAAGCTGAAGTACAAGAGGTATATTTGACCCACCATGATTCGCATTTTGTAAACCATTTGAAGATTTGTATGCATGATCTAATTGCATACAAACATTTTGACTGTCTCCTTCCAAGGACAAATTGTGTGTGATGCATTCCAGAGCACATTATGGGATTGTGACTCAGCTCGAAATGTCACTGTTGAGCGTTACTTCAAATATGGCACCATGAGACATTTGTTTGTTACTTCAGTGTTGTTGACATTTGTTCTCAGTCTGCCAGCACATTTTGTTGTTGTGATGTCTTGGAGCAGGTGGACAGTTTTGTTGTTGTTGTTGTTGTTGTTGTCTAACTCTGCCTATGAGCCCCCAAGCATAATGTTGACATGTTTGGTTATGTTGCACGGAGGGGACACTCAGCTATGGAAGACGATTAGGGCCACTTATCAACAAAAAAAGTGAAATTCAGAGAAAAAAAGATGATATCCAAAATATAGTCTGAATTTTGAGAAATAATTTGAAATGTAATTTGTTTTGGATTCTGAGCAAAAATTCGATTTCTTAGGAAAAAGTCAAATTCCGAGAAAAAAGTTGAAATCTGAAATAAAGTCAGTTTTTTGAAAAAGTTGAAATGTAAAAAAAAATCTGATTCTGAGAAAAAAGTCGATTTCTGAGAAAAAACTTGAATTCTGAGACAAAACTTGAGTTTTGAGAGGAACGTTGAATTCTGGTTAGTTATAAAATAATGCACGTCACCCTAATCCTCTTCCTTACTGACCTGACGGGGGGACACGTATTCTTCTGTTTTTTATAAGTAGTCTTTTGTGTCTTTTTACCAAGAGCACTATGAAATAAGTGCATGTGACACATTCTATAGAAGATGGAAGAGATTAAGTATTTCTTGATATTAAGAAAGACTTGGAGGAAAAACATACAGTTACATCAGATGGGAGTGTATCGATGTCCCCAGGGTGCTATATCCCCCAGTTCAATAACCTGTTGGTATGCCCAGTGATGGAAAAAGTCAAAGTACCTATACCAACTTTTACAATACTTTGGTTAAAGTCCTGCATTCAAAATCTTACTTAAGTAAAAGTACATCAATATTAGCATCTAAATATACTTACCATAAGTACTTATTTCAGAATAATATGAAAGGACTGGATCGTGATTATTGATGCATTAATGAGTTGATCCCAGTTTGTAAAGGTGGAGCTGCTTTTAATTACTTTATATGCTGCTGCTGGATATCTGAACCTATAATTAATCTAAATGTATTAGTTGATTTATATTTTGTGTAAACTAATAATCTGAGTCTGTCTTTAACATTGTACTTAAATACAGTCCTTGAGTAATTGTTAATAAGTCTAATTGCTAAATAAATTGCTCAGAAATGTTTTTGTCAAGGTCATGGGTTCTAGAAAAGGATCAATGTCATCCATTACTCCCCAAATCTGCTGACAGTGTTCGGCCCTCACTATTTCAAGTAGTAGGATTGGATGTTGTTTACTTCAAGATGGCAGTCATCAAACTGACCTGATGTATAAGGTGCATCACTTTAAGCACCACTCCTGTGTCACCTCAGGATAAACAGAACACTTGAGGTCATTACTAATTCCCCCGCTGTTGTTGACACTGCACCTCTCTCGGGTTTCTTCTTCTACATTTTTAACCCCCCCGTCGCTATAAACACTAACATGTGAAGTCCTCTCACCCTCCTGTTGCTTCACATGACTTCAAACAACCTCCTTCTAGTTCTCGAACTACTACTTCTTCTTTTTATTTTTAAACGTGGCCAAGGAAGAAAACTTGAAACACAGGTAGTACAGAGTGACGCAGTAATGAGTCCAAAAACATGGAAATGACTCAGCATTTTACCACTTCCTGTCCCCTGGTGTGGAAGTCAATGGTTTTCTGGATGTGTTTTTGGTTGTTAGCCTGAAATAAGGTCTGTGGAAACGCAAGCAGAAGAGATTTTAACATTTTGTTCTACGACATAAAATCATTTAATAGTCTGAATTTGTTTCGAATTGACAAACTACAGTACTAAAATGCTCTTACATGTATAACAACTGAATATCAGAAGAACCATAATGTAATACTGGGAAAGGTCTATTAAAAAGTATTTGATATTTAAAGTGCATTTAGCTGATAATAAAGTATTTACTTTATATTATTCTGAAATAAGCCATTCGAGTATTTTAACTTTTGGTACTTTAAGTATAATGTCATGCCAATACCGTTGTACTTTTACTCAAGTAAACAATCAAACTACTTCTTCCACCTCTGGACACAGACGGTTGTTTTTTAATAAACAGAGGAACCATCTGTCTGAGGAATCATGGTTTTATTTGTGCAACAAACTAAGCAGATCTAACTGTAATCTTTTTTCCTAAATCCACTAAGCTTAAAGTCCATCGCCCAGTGGATCCAGGGTCATGGAGACAATGAGGCTGATTTTTTTTCTTTTGCAACCTAGTGCCAAAATCACATAGCAACTGGTCAAGAACCAACTCAAAACACACAGATATTCATTGTTTCCATGTAATAATTGGTTGTTGATACATCATTATTTATTTTTTACAGGAGGAAGAGGCTGAGTAGTTGACACCAGGGGGCGTCATCGATGTTAAAATGTTAATATCCAGGTACAAATCTACACTCGTCCTTTGATTCTGTGTTTTCTCTACCACTGGAGGGCAGTAAAACATCATGTGAATCTGCAGTAAACACCACCACAACATGAGTAGTTCCCTTTTTATATTTGGCATTTATGTAACCAGATTAATTAAAAACTGTTTTTGTGCCTCTGTGACCTTCTGAATAATAACACGCAACCTCTCTGCTTTATCTACATTGTATACTGCGCCTTTGAAGCTGCATTCATATCAATGTAATGTTCTTGCCTTTATATACAAGATGCATAAATCTCAAACGCTACCCTCGCTTCACCTTAGGGTTTGTTTTCATGCACTCTGAGGTTTTCAGGAAAGGAAATAAAATAATGCAGCAGTGGATTTCAAAGGGACCCTTCACTAATGGCTGCATCTGAACAGAATACTAGAGATCATCTGTGAGGCCAAAAAACGTACAAATATCCTCCATTTTCTTTTGGTTCCTCTGAGGCGGTGATGATAATCCTAATCTTCAAAGGATGTGCTGGGTAGGAGGGTAACTTTGAGAACCTATTCTGTTTTAATTACTAGTTACCTGTAAACAAAATGTAATCAGTAACCTAACCTACTTTTAAGAGGCCCTATTCTGCTTTTGGGGGTTTTCCCTCTCCTGTAGTGTGTTATATACGCCTAAAACGCCTCCATTGGAATCCTTTGTTTACTTCCGGAACATAGTGACATCACTATGGAACACTCTTGCTTCTATTGGCTAGCGCTCCAACACTACAGAATAACAAAAAGAACAAATGAACCAAAGAAAGTGAAAACCATGAAGCAGATTCAGGCAGTAGGCGTATAGATTCACACTTAAAATATAAAATCTTCGCCTACAGAACAGTAGAGTTTACAAAGAAGACAGCACAAACTAAACGCTCTTTTATTTATTTGATTAACATTGTAAAATTGCTAATAATCCACCATTCTAAGATGTATAACGGTAATCTGATCACATCTCTTTTTTAAGCAACTGGAAGGGAAATCAGTCTCCTTTATCTTGTATCCAGACTATCCCTTTACATGTAATCCATTACTCCAGAAGCCTGTATATGACGCTATGCATTAAGATCCACAGAGTGAGCTTTGAAGAAATGCTCGTCTTCTCCCTCACTTGGTAGCTTCCTCCAAACCCTGCGAGCCCCTGTCACGCAGCGTTAGAGGAAGCTGCTAAGTGAGCCTCATGTGCCTCCGGAGCACGTTGAGTGGCACAGGCTCAGCGGTGGTGGCGGCTGCCTCAACTGGGAAATATGTGACCTCGTTTCTTTTTTTTTGTTTCAGCCTGAAGGAGCCTCCCGTTACGTCTCTCCCTGACCCTTTGACGCTTGACCCCCCTCCACCCGTCCCCAAGGACCCCACTGGAAACTGATGGCCATGAAGGCGCCAAGTCAAAAGCTAAAGTCCTGACACGCATATCTCGTTTTCTTTTGACTGCAATGTTGACTTAATTTTTATATTTTGCCTTTAGAGACGTACTGTAATGAAAATGCACAGAGTAGCCAAGTGGTGTCGAGTAGCTTTTGTAAAATGCTATTCAGTTATTTTGGTAAAAATCAAACGTATTTCTCGTGTTTTTCTTGTAGACATTCTAGTTTTCTAACAGAGAAGAAGTGGCCTTTACAACAAATCTTGGCTTAGATGGTTTTGCCCCACTTCAGATTAAAACTCACGCTCTAGTGTGTTCTGTTTATCAGTAGTTTTACCAATGTCGCGGATCCTTCGATCAAGTGAATGTACAAATTCAAGACTTCCTAAAGGCAACATGAGTAAAAATACGCACATACTGCACCACCACTATAGTTACGTCTGCCAATACTGCTCTCTAATCAATGCACTTTGTTGAACCATGTGACTAAGACTTGCATGCAATGGAAAATGCAATAAAGTAAACTGGTAAAAACGACTATTTTGTTTTATTTTAAACTCTTTTGTTGGCATATTTATAGATCAGATTGTGCAATGTCAGAAGTGCTGAGGCAAACAGGAAAACACCAAGAAATGCCTTGTCCCAAGAGATGCTTGGAAAAGGAGAGGGGGATGTCAGATACCATAGAAACATGTTTTTCAAGGCATTGTAGGTATTTCACAGTGAATGTGTTGTTACGTGAAAAATATACAGACTGTTGACAAGAATGAAAAGGAATGTGTTCTTTATTTCCAGCCAAGAGTTCAGAAACTGAGACTTTGGTGAAACTGTACTTATTATTGCAGGAAGTTGGACAAAAACCAAAGTAGAAAAATTTGATTCAATATTGGATCAACTTTTTTACAGTAATCTATTTGCCAGGGTGCTTCAGTCAAAACTCAGAATATCAGCCGCATGGCCAGAGATGATGGAAAAGTCCGTAGCACATTTCTTAGAAATACACTTGTTTTTTAACATTTCATAAAAAAAAAAAGCCAGAAATACTGAGTAAAGTAATTAGGGTTCATCCTCTGCCTCTGGGGAACATGATTGCATTTCATATCTATATTTCCATCATGGAAAACTGATTTACTAAGGTGATAACGTGGCTAAGAGTTCAATATTTCCAATTTGGTTCCATTAGCACCTCAAACAAGATATGATATAGTACCGTAAGCCGTTGTTTATCCATCGAGCTGATGATAATTGAATTATTGCATGAAGTTTTTCAATCACCTAAGTATACAGTTTACAGAAAGTATACAAATGCTAACCCCATGGCTAGAGCTAAAGAAAAGAAAGTCAAAGAATAAAAAGAGTTCATAAAAAAAGCCAAGGATATTGACAATTAGGGTTTGAATGAATTTCATAACCATCCAAAAGTTGTTGAGATCTTTTCTTCTGGACAACAAGCTGCTTGTGTGACTAAAGTTATCAAAGCATGTCATCCTTCTAAAAGATATTCTGCATTTCTGCTGTTTTTATCATCACCTCCTGTGTCCAGCCCTATTTCTTTGTAGAGGGTGGAGGTCTGCTTGTAAAGCCCCCTGGGAAACGGAGCCTTACGAGGGGCATTGTTTGCACTCTGAGTCACTCTGTATTTCCATGTGTGTGAAGCACGGGGCAAAGTTCCCTCTGAGTTTCGGGTAATATTTAACAGGGAAGTTTTGGGAAAGCATGAGGAAGGAGCAGCATCGTTGACATGTATCCACGGGTTGTGACACCAGACTGAGGTGAGTCACACCAACACAGTGGGACTTATGGTTATTATTTCACTGAACTTGGGGAATTTATTCAGGATATGATGCTTTCTGCTGTGTGTCAAAAGAAACTGCATGCTGCAAGATATTTATACACCAGATGTCAGGGATTTGACGTAATGATACTCTGATATGAGAAGTTTCACCTGTATTCAAGATTACAATTTGTAGTAAGATTTCCTTACTTTACTGTCCTATCAAGGCAATTTTCATTTAGGAATTTATGTAAGCTAAAATAAAAAACTGAAATCATTTTTGTTACTCCAGTATTTTCCAATTTCACTCCTTGTGTACAATTATCAAGCATTTGACTGTGACAGTGACCTTTAATTTGAAAAACAAGATATCACATTTTCTTTATAGAGTGGTGCAGAAACAAGTCCTAAAACCCGGAAATAATTAAGCTTTTTTACATGTTCCTGATTGGTCTTAATGGTTGTTGTTTTTTGAATGTATTTTTGGTTTTGAGTCTGAAATAAGGTCTGAAGCTGAAGAGATGTTATTGTCATTTCATTTCACTTATAGCTTACAGTAGCATTCACTTTTTATTTCTGGCAGTTGTGGAGCCAATATTATTATCTTGTGATTAGTTTAGCTCAGAATGAATTCAAATCTTACAATATATTTTTTTCCCACACTGTCCTCAGCTTTCTTTAGGAGACACTTTACCAAGAACACATTTTATTTCCAGGATATGAATATATATGTAACACTTTATATACTGTATATGTTTTTTAAAAGGCTACAGTTAAGCTCTGTAAACTTAAATGCAATTTGGAGAGACTTCACTTGAGTATTTAATTTTCGGTATTCAGTTTGAAATGTACTTTTTACTACATGTATTTTATTGTTTTGCTTTGAAGATTAGATTGAATGAAACTTAACATAATCCACTTATAATTAAACGTGTATTATTATAGGTTAGGATCAACTTTATTGCAGTATCTCACGTTATTTGTAAAGGCTCTTCCTTTAGCTTATGCCTCATTTAATTGATGAATACTATTATATATGAAAAATATAATAATATTTAGAAATTGGCCACCCTGCTGGAGTATGTCTACTTTTGGCCCTTTAAGTATATTGTTATGCTAATACTTCATTTATTTGATTTGAGAACAATTCTGATTGCAGGACTTTTACTCGTAACAGATGGTTTTACACTGCTTTTCTTAATTAAATTACTTTGTATACCTCCGGCTGAGAATAACTCAATTATTTTGGTTTCAGGTCCATGCAGCGTTGAACAATGGATTGACTCGACAGACTGATTAAACATGGACTTATTTTGTCTGTTACTGCTCCTCCTCTCATGCAGCATTCAAGGTGAGAGTTCAGCTCAGAACAAACAGCAGCTTGTTTGAGTGTTGGTGTGTCACACAGCGTAATGTGCATGTTCGGCTACATCTAGTGCATGCTGTGCTTTGTGGCAGCGCGTTTTAAAATAAACCCACCCTCTGATTAGAGCATGTGATCTATCTGCACTATATCATTAATTTTCTTCCAAATGGCGGCCTATCTAGTTAACAGTAAGATGTAGCCAGTGGTAAGGGGACTCGTGGTCCCAATAGGAGCATGCATTACGCTCATTAGATTGCAATTCTCTGATTGCAAAGAAAATTAATCTCCGTATAGGATGTCCTAGATATTTCTCAGGCCTAATTTCCCAAACGGATGTCTAATTTATGATTTGCATGCTGAATGTGAAAGGTAACACAGTTATACATCACCTCACTGCAGTGTACACATCCACCCGAGTGCAGTGATGTGTCTGTGTGTGCATGTGTGTGTAGTTGAGGAGTAGGCCCTCACAGTAGTGCATACTGTGTTTTTTCTCATGGAGACTTTTTCTATTTTAGCTCTAATGTTGTCCTTGTGGCTTTATCAAACTGCAGGGTAGCATAACCTGCAGAATAATGCCTCGCATGCTGCCCACAGTTACAGATTCATTTACACACTCCTATTTTGGTTGCTATTTCTTCCCTAAATCCTGTTCGCCCTCATTCATGCACCCGGGCAAATCACCCGTCTCCATCTGGACAGCCTCAGTAAGAAAGAGATTTAGGTAGTTGGGCTGTCAATGTCTTTCTTTGTCTCTTTATCCTCTAAGGCTTTATTTCTTCTTTCTTTCTTTCTTTCTTTCTTCTCTCTCATCTTTCTCTTTTCATTTTACTCAATGTCTCTAATACACTTGGTCCTCTGACATAACAAAAAACAAACAAAGCAAGTATAGCCGCCATTTTGTTCTGGTCTTTGAGCGATATGGTTGAAATCTACTTCCTTGCTCATTCTCAATGATATTTATAGGTTTCCTTAGACATCACGTTAGGACATTTCAACTCGGATTTCAAGAATGTACTGTACATGCTCTTTGCATACACTGTTAAAAATGTCTCGTAGCGTAAAAAACTGCAATAAAAATATAAAATAATTTACAGAACAATATGTATTTTTACTCAAAAGTTCTTTATAATGTAATGTTTCACATTGAGAGTAATAATCAAATGTCGCAATTTTGCAACTCTAAAATGCAGCTATTACAATTTTAATGTCATTCATTTTGAGATAATATTTGAAGAAGTCAGCTTACTCTGCTAAATGTGCACACCGATGCTAATGTCACTGCAGCATGTGACTGTTGTTAAACTGCTTACATTCAGAATATAGGTCACTTGGGTTTCCCTTACTACTGCTAGTTTGTATATATCGCCAGCTTCTTAAATATGATTGGCCTCATATTATTTTGTTATGTGTATGGTCTTTTCAAAGGGAGAATATTGTGGAATACAATAACAACTATACAATCTGCTTTTGCTGACTGCCTCGGTCAGGAAAACATGGGATTCAGCAAGACATTTAGATGTGGCTCCCCTTTGTCTCGTGCAGGCTAATTTGGCTGAACAGCACCCCATCTGAGTATCTCTGTATCTCCGACCACAGCTTGCAAACTACTTTTACAAAGGGGCGCCATATTTTGTCAGCAATCAAATCAGAGCAGATTGGTTTCAGACAGAGGGTGAAAAGAGGTGCTGCAGCACAGGCAGTATGAGAAAAATATATTTTTGAACATTAAAGCATGGAGACATGTCACAGTAGAGGCACAACAGTACATACTAATATAGAAGAATTGGGAGGGATGAAACCCTCTTTTAATGGTCACACATGGAGAGCACACAGCACACAGAGTGACATTTGGCCTCTGCATTTAACCCATCCTAGTACCAGGAGTCTAGTACTAGGAGCAGTGGGCAGCTATTGCACAGCGCCCGGGGAGCAATGAGAGTGAGGGGGGAAGGGGGGTGTCCGGTGCCTTGCTCAAGGGTACCAAGGCAGGGCAGGAGGTGAACTGGGACCTCTCCAATTAGCAGTCCACACTCCATATTTTAGGTCTGGTCGGGGACTTGAACCAGCGACCCTACAGCTCCCAGTCCAAGCCCCTACTGACTGAGCCGCTGCCAGACATATGAACCTGAAAACAAGATATTTTTTAAAATATATTTGTCCCCAATACTCAAACTCTCACCAAGAAAGCAAGTCAGCGCATCAGCTGATGACTTGATTTGTTTTGTTCCACATTGAAAATAAATGTGTTTAACATCTGTTTTTGATTTGGATACTTTATCAGTTGGAGCTGCGATGAAGCTGTCTCCTGAAGCGCTGACCGTCCTGCGGGGGGGGGGACGCACGGTTCACCTGCAGCCCGTCCAAGACCAAGTGGACCGTCATGGTGTGGTTGCT